ATCTTGTGAACTTTTCTCAAGTCTCCACAACTAACCTCAGATTAATCTTATAACAAAAAACTTACAAAAGGATGCAATTTTTTTTATAATAACTGAAAACAATACAAAACAACGAACAACAACAAAGAAAATAAAACAAATAAATGATTCCCTCCCCCACACTTAAAACACACATTGTCCTCAATGAAAGAAACAAGCATAAAATAAGAGTGAGGAGAGATAGGAAAGAACACACTCGAGGAGTCAAGGCGGATAGATGATCGCATAAGTAGCCTTTCCCAACGAGAGATATTTTGTAGTTTCCTCTTCCAACATGAGACTCTCATGTAATAGCTTGAGGCGGTGTCCTTTAACTTTGAAATTTTTATCAGTACCTTCACTTTTTATTCCTAGATCAAAGAATGTTCTTCTAAAAGTAAAAGTGTCAAATGAGAGCGAGAGCGTGATATCATCTTTCACAATATCGAGGATCAAAAGGTTACGGGGTTGCCTCACTGCTTTTGCTACATCTTCAAGTGAGATCCTATGCATACACATAGACGGACTAATATCATAAATATCATCCAAGGTCCATCCCATTCCTTTCTTATGCTTCTTTAAAACCTGCACAAATTTACTTTCTTGATCAAAATAAAGTTTAGAAGAAATTATAACTTGTAGCTTTTCATTCATCTCTAAATAAGAATATTTTTGGTTATCAGAAGTGGTTTTAGCTCTTGGGAATGTGGTTATTTGATGGATGGTTTTCCCCGGGCATTTAGTAAAAAATTATTTAAAAATAGAAAAAACACGAATTTACGATTTTGAGGGTCAAAATCCTTTAAAATTCTATTCTAGAGGAGTACTGTTTGTCGATTTTTTCTAACTTTATGAAAAAGATTCAGAGCAAATCGAAACAGTAACTTCCAAACTTACCTGATAGGCTGAAAAATTGTACTGCAACCGGAATTGTAACCCTGAAAATCAACAAACACAACAAAAAAACAAGAAAAAAATAGAAAGAACACTATACTTATGACTCTAACATAGGTTAATAACAACAAGAATCCCCGACAACAGTGCTAATTTGATTCGCTGTCACGCACGGATAAAAAATGAGTGTTTTTAAAATTGTAGATATCGACAATGGCTTGAGTCGTATCACAAGGATTCTTGAAATTGTTATTAACAAATAGAAATCTAATTGGGGGTGGTTTGATTTAAGAAAACAATGCAAAAGTAAGTGATTATAAAATAAGTGATTATAACAGGTTAATCTACCGGTTCTACTTCCAACTTATCATTGAGCATTACAATTTCAATTCCCTAAGCGGCTTCAATTCCTATTCGATTATAATATTAATGAAACAAGCATCGACAATACTACATGAATTATGTTCCTAATCACCGAATTAAGCAAATGATTCACCGAATTAAGCAAACGATTAAAGATAGCGCGAATTAACGAAAAAGCTAAGTTAAACGCGATTAAAGTAAGAAACATATATCTCAACCGAATTAAATCAATCTATTCAATAAGAAACGAATTAAGAAAATGAAAATATTAGAATAAATTAGAAAGGACTAAATTAAAATTGATAAAAACCTCAAAGTTTTATGGAATTCGAATTCGGTAGATTGCCCTTAGAATTAGTTCTCCATGAATGATTTTGTACAATCCAAAATTTCTATCGTGAAAATCAAATTTTTCTACTGTAGCACGGCTGAAAACCTTATAAATAAAATAGGGTTTTTCACTACTAAGTCAAACTGGGTCAGAAACATAAATCAAGCCCATAAAACGACCTGAAACAGATTATTCTAATTCTGCAACTTCAACGAATTATTCAAGCCTTCTACAGTCTGAATTAGTTTCTGGCTCCAACATTAAAGTTGTAGCTCTTTCTCTTAGATTTCCAACGATTATTAAAACGCGTTGATCAGATTCTCGAAGATCCAGTTAAGATTTTTCATTGAAAGTTGTTAATGCTGAAAATAAAATACGAAAATCAATTAAAGGTAAAAATAAACAAAATTATAAAAACATCATAAAATAGAAAAATAAACAAAACAAACCATGGAAATTCTTAAGTGAAAACATAAGAGAATGTGCATCAATATGCACCGATCACCCCCACCAATGTCTCCTTGTACCCAGTTTTTTTATAGCTAAATAGAAGGAATATAGTGTTGACGCTAATTTCTACATGGGCTTTATATGATTTCCTCGTTTTAGGCCCTTGAATCAATGCAACACAAATCCTAGTTGAAGTCTATAAATAGGACCTTGAAGAGATTGAAAAGGGAGTTCAATAATTCCAAGAGGAAATAAAGAAGATACAAAGTGTGAGGAAAGTGGAGAGTAGAAAGAGTTTTCTTCTTCTTACCCAATCATGTACCTATTGTCGAGCTCTGACGTGACTGGAGTCACGTCTTGAAGATTATCGATCTTAAGAAGTTCTAAAGTCTCTCTTAGGTTTATATCTCTTTTTCATTATTTGTTTAAGGATGTTCCTTCTGAGAACCATGCTTATAGTTTGTACTCAGTTCATTATGAGCTAAACCTTTTGTAGTTGAGCAAAATAAAACTAATGTTAAGTTGTTTTTATGTTATATGGCGTCTGGTTAAGTGACATATTTTATCATGTGTTAACATGTTATAAGTCTATTTCTTGAATGATCAATTTAGGAATAGATAATAACTTGTTGTTGTGAGAGATCCAACAACAAATGGTTTTCTTAATAAAAATGGTTGAACGAGTAAGATAGAGATATTCACTCACCTAGATTGCTTAGAGATAAGGAGTTGCAACTATTGCGGATTTTAGAATATAAACAGGCGTATGTTAGGGTTATAAATGAGACTTAGAGATTTGTTCGCTTGCCATTTACATGCATGCTTTGATGTTGTAGAAATTCACCACAATATCACTCTAACCTCATATGTCACGACAATGCATATCATCACGCATATTTACTTTTACAATATTAATGGATCAATACTCAACTCATTTACTCTGGATATATTTCAACTCTTTCTCTTTACACTATTTTGATCTGTCTTAAGTGAAAACTGAACACTTACACACCACATATTATTTCTCTCTATACTCATGCTTAAAACTCAAATATAATTATTTGCAAAATCAACCTAAGTAACTACATCACTCCCAATGGGTTCGTCACTCTTATCTTTATCACTTGCTGCAATCAAACATACATGTATACTTGCATGTGACACCTATTTTGACCATCAACAATATATGATTACAATCTTTTTCTTCTTTCATATTTCTTCTAAGACAAACTTTTGTATTCATCTAAACCAATGACCACAATTGTTACACCCACAGCCGCATCTGTGGCCGCAAGCGCAAACATACTAGAACAATTGCAATCGCAAAACCTACAACTGCATTTGTAATTTAAAGCCATGAAGTTATCCAAAAACCATTCAAAACCAAACAAATCAGCATATGATAAAAAAACCATTCAAAGCCATGAAAGTTGAAAAAATTTTAATATTTTTAAAACATTTTCATTGCACTTGTTCATGAATCATTTTCTTGAAACATTGCAAATTATTTATGATTATTTTCAAGCATTGCAAGTCTTTTAAAATGGTGTCTTTGCTGGGGAAAAAAACAAAGCATAGAGGGAAAAAAAGGAACATGATCACACAAAACAACATAACATGGAAACTCCAAAACTAAAGAAAAATTCAAGGTCGTTATCAATATACAACCAAAGAATAATACTCTATCAAAATTGTTACAACACACAATATACTCTCAACTAACCTAGTTCTACAGTATTCCTACACCCTCTAAAATAAATATTTAACTACATCTCAACACACTCTAATACAAGAGTATAAGAGAATAAAAAAAACTCAAGTACAAGCTTAAAGTAATTTTTACAGGTGCATATTGCAACGAAGAACTTAAATCATATATATAGTCTTAGACTTTCACTTCCTTCACATAACTAAGCTATGCGAGATTTCAAAGAACTTGTATCCGATGTATAGCTTTAGACTCTTTCTTCATTCACAAAATTAAACAATGTAAGACTTATTCAACATATAAATTTTCAATCAACAAAACAAAAACAACCGCAATAACTACAATCACAAAACACACAAATGCAACTGCAATTTAACCGTGAAGGTATCATGAAACCATTCAAATCAAACATATTAGCATACACTATATATATATATATATATATATATATATATATATATATATATATATATATATATATATATATATATATATATATATATATATATATATATATATATATATATATATATATATATATATATATATATATATATGTTTCTAGGTTCATCAACCAAACTACAGAGTTTTATGTGTTTCTCTTTTTAACAATAACTAAAATTTGCAACGTTATTAATTAATGATATTTTTATCAAAATACTTATAATTCTTATATATTTTATTTTTAATTAGTAAAAAAATTACCACAATGCAAATATAAATTAATTTTCCTTCTAATGGTTAATCTTTAAAAATCACTAACAATTATTTGTTAACAAATTAAACAGTATTATAATTTTTTGGAATGGCAAGACTATTATAATTAGTATCCGTAGTGTTATATTTAAAAAGTGAGAGTAAAACGGTAATGTTAAGAAATTAAACAGTATTATATTTTTTTTTTAATGGAAAGAGAGTATTATAATTAGTATCCATATTCCATAGTGTTATATTTAGAAAGTGAGAGTAAAACGGTAATGGTAAAGTCAAAGACAAGTATAGTAAAGTTGTTATCTATAAGAGATGAAAAATGATTGTTAATAATAAACACAAAAAAGAACAAACGAAATAAAAAAGGAAAGAGACATATTTAGACAATAGTTAGTTTGTCTTGTTCATGGTAATGAAGCTTCGGCACTCGAGTATAAATAATGTTTCACCTTACTTTGAAATAACACAATCATTCAAGAGAAGTAAAAGTATATAATAATAATAATAATAATAATCAAAGAAGATATGATGAAGAAGTTGAGTATTGCCATAATTATTTCATTCCTATATTTTCTAGCGAACTTTTCTGCAGCTCATTCTGCTGTCCTTGACATATCAAAATTTGGTGGATCACCAAATGCAGATATTACCCAGGTAATAATTACTCTTGTTGAATTGAAAATGAGAAAACAATTAGTTTCTAATAATTATTGGTGTTGAATTGACAATGAGTTTCCTTTCATAAGGCTTTCACCTCTGCTTGGAATGAAGCATGTGCATCAACAAGTGCGGCCAAAATAGTGATTCCTTCTGGTACATACAAGATGGGTGTGTTAGAAGTTAAAGGTCCTTGTAAGGCTCCTGTAGAAGTTCAGGTGGATGGCACAATTCAAGCACCTGGGAACAATGCTGACCTTAAAGGAGCTGAACAATGGATCAGGTTTGATGGTATAGACTCCCTTACCGTATCAGGGAAAGGAGTTTTTGATGGTCAAGGTGCAGCTGCATGGAAAGATGCTTCAATTGCTTGGAAAGATAAATCTCATGGAAGACGTGCAATTGTAAGTATTAATCACCTCACCCAAATAACTAACTATATTCAACAATAAAATATCTTAATCACCCAAATAACAATAACTATATTCAAAATCTTATGAAAAATAACTATACTCATAATTAAATTTTTTTGGTTGAATTCCAACAGAGTTTGTATTTTGCTTATTGCAACAACTCCATGGTCACTGGAATTACATCTAAGGACAGCAAATATTTCCATTTTATGGTTTTGGGGTGTAACAATATCACATTTGATGCGGTCACAATTACAGCCCCCGATGAAAGTCCTAATACTGATGGAATCCACCTGGGAAGATCAAATGGTGTTACAATTATTAATACCAATATTGGTACTGGAGATGATTGCGTATCATTGGGTGATGGTAGCAAAAATGTAACGGTGCAAAATGTGAATTGTGGACCTGGACATGGTATTAGTGTTGGAAGTCTTGGAAAGTATCCAAATGAAGAGAATGTAGCAGGTTTTATAGTTAAGAATTGTACTCTGACAGAAACTGAAAATGGTGTGAGGATTAAGACTTGGCCTGATACACCAGGAAAAATTACTGTTACTGATATGCATTTTGAAGATATTATCATGAATAATGTCATGAACCCTGTCATCATTGACCAAGAGTATTGTCCATGGAACCAGTGTTCCAAAAAGGTAATAATCACTCTCGCATCTCTATATATTAATTATTATTAAATTTTAATTTATTTTTATGACTAACATTTTAATTTGTATGGTTTAGAATCCATCAAAAATAAAGCTAAGCAAGGTTACATTCAAGAACATTAAGGGCACATCCGGTACAGCAGAAGGAGTGATTATTATTTGCAGTAGTGGTGTACCATGCGATGGTGTCGAGTTAAATAATGTTGATCTCACATTCAATGGAGCACCTGCAGTAGCTAAATGTTCTCATGTCAATCCATTAGTTACAGGAAAAGCTCCTGTTTGTGGAGCTACAGCTTCAGCTTCAGCTTCAACATCACCTTCAGCTTCACCAGATTCAGCTTCAGCATCACCTTCAGCTTCACCAGCTCAAGAGTCGACTCTCGAAAAGTCACCTTCTAAAAGAGAAAAGTCACCTAAAAAACAAAAGTCAGCTTCTAAAGAAGAAGAAGAAAAAGAAGACGACGACTAGAAAAAACCATCCCCTTAATGTGAGAATAAAGAAGAAGAAGAAGACGACGACGATGATGACTAGACAAAGCATCCCCTTAATGCGAGGATGTATGTAGTAGTATAGTCTTAGAGGAATAAACATCTGTATTAAAAATATTTTCATCTATATTTACTCTTTCTAATGCAAAAATAAATTTCATTTAGTATGTGTAATCACGAGTAAGAGTAATTAAAATATATTGTTCAAAATACTTGACACTGATATTTAATAATGTTTCATGAAAAGATTTGTAATGTACTAGGATGTCAACAGAGCAGCAACAAATGTTCAAATGCATAGAAATGGTTAGTTGAACCCTAAAATGTAAACACTATACACGTCCAAAGGAATATACTCTATTCGATATGGTTCAAGACCACTCTGATCGAAGTGACTTTGGGATCAAGGCTAAAAAAAACAGTTTTTATTACTTTGGGTACTTTGGCATATGTGTGAAAATTATTAGCAAAATCAATTACATTATATTTAAGAATCTCCCAACAATCCTTAAAAACCTCACATTGAAGACATTTGGTCATGGACTCTTCTTGTCTTTGACACTAAACTCTTTCACTTCTTATATTGAAAAAGAATATTCTAGTATGTGCATATCCTCTGAATTTAATATAGTAAACTGAACTTGTTCTAGAATATGACTTTTGAAATCATGCTCCTTGAAATAATTTTCATAGTACTCTTTTATTTCCTTTTTCACCTTTTCAACTGGATGAACTCTACCTGAAGGAGTATTAATACATGTGATATTGTTTCTTCTAAATACCTCTTCATTAGCTTGTGAAAGAAGCTACTGTTGGAATCACCCTTACTAATCCATCATTAATTTTCCTCTAATTATAGAAGAAGACCCGTACTTTGTAACCAAAGGAATGAAATCCTGATGATCCAACTAACATTTGAAAATTTTAAAAGGTTTAGGCCCTCATTTTGTGTCATTCCTTTTGATTTAGATAGGATTGTGATCAAATAAAACCTACCTACCTACTTGTTGACAATTAATCTTCCAAGCTTCTAACAAATCCTCAAAAATTAAAAATCTATCTAGTCTAGCATTGCCTTTCCATTAAAATTATGTCAAGTAAATTTTGTGGAAACTTGTTTGGCAGGTAATATATTTTTAATTAAGGCATCGTCTTTTGTTGATGACCACTATAATAATTATGATGACAACTATAAAAACACCTATAAGGTCAAACCATAAAGAGAACTATTGATAAGTCAAACATAATACCTAAGCAGTTAAAGATGCAAACTCAAATAATGTGGTATGATGAACTTGAATATTTAAAGAAGAATAAGGCAAACAAAGAGAATTTATACGAAGTCTTAAAAGATCTCAAGCACTGTCAACAAAAGAAGATAATATTTGGCAAATGGCTTGTAGAAGGAGTCAATCTCCTAAGATAGTATGTGAGTGACCTTTTGTATAAGCAAATGACTCTTTTGTAAAAGTATATGGCTATAAGCGCAAACACTCACTAAAACCTTTTTTCAAATACCTTAACTAAGAGAAATAAAATTTCAAAAGTGTCTTTAAGTTGTGCTAGATGACATAGGAGCAATGGAAATAATTAGAGGAAAATATTTGACCAATCTAATCGATTAGGCCATTAAGCTAATCGATTAGATCAGTTCAAACGTAAGTCCAAAACTATTTAGTTAGCGCCTCAAAGATGTACAACGACTAGCAATATCTTCTTTACTTTTAAATAACTAGTAACAAATTTTTTTATGATCTAATCGATTATGCCAAAGTGCTAATCGATTAGATAAAAGTCAAAATCATTTAATGAGAATTACGTTTTAGGCATTCTTCTTGCCAATAAATAGAAATCTTAATTCTCATTTCTCATCATTCAGAAACGTGTTTTGACACTTCTCTCTCTCTCTCTCACTCACTCTCTCTCTCTCTCTCTCTCTCTCTCTCTCTCTCTCTCTCTCTCTCTCTCTCTCTCTCTCTCTCTCTCTAAAGTCTCTCTCTCTAAAGTCTCATTTAACATTTCTCTCACTAGATGTTATAGGAAAATTCTTTTGTGAGAAAAGTCCTTTATGAGTGAGGATATCAATATAATTCTGGAAGGATAGAATTGTAATACTCACCAAGAAAATGTTGTTTATACACCTTAGTTGAATATATTTCATTTATGCATCAAATATGTGGTAAGAATCTAAACCATGCCGCAACGCAAAAAATACTCGAGCGTCTGCACGCTCAAAATACAATGAAGTCATCACCGAAATTTATTTATTCCAAAAAGAAATGGGAAAATATCGAGAAAACCCACTAAAGAATGAAAACATGGTCGCCGCAACCAAGGGCAGACTCGAGAGTCAGTTATTCAAGGAGAATGTATTAGCACCACTCACATTCGTTGTAGTCAACAGTAACTATTTAGTTAGTATTACAAAGGAGTGTTAATGTGATAGTTATGACCTCCTAATTATTACTAAGTGAACAAAAGAAAGAAATAATTTGTGGAGTTTTTTTATTATTGTGCTCGGCATTACTACAGAATCTCGTGCCTACGTACTCTTATGGTACAATGAGAAAATCAAATCATTCGTAGTTTGTGGTTGAAAAGAGTTGTGGGTTTGATGATTTTAAGAAACAATGTATGAATCACTCTTTGTGAAAAGGTTTTTGATTGCACGGGGCGAGAAAAACAAGTTTGATGGGTTGAGATTGATTTTAATTGAAAGCGAGGAATTGGTTAAAACAAATTATAAATTAAGCCCTCCAATACACTCCCAAGTTTATTGTAAAACGATTTTTGAAAATGTCTTGATTAAGTTTTGAAAAAGGATTTGTTGTTGATCAAGTATTTGTCTTATTCGGAGTTTATTTTGAAAAAGGGATTGATTACAAAAAAGACTTGGTGTTGACTAATAGTTTACCTGCTTTTGATTGAAAAAAAACATTATTTACAACAAAAACGGTTTGACGTTGAATTAAGTGTTTGATACTTTTTATGTAAGGTTGATTTTATTGCATACCTATTTATGTCTTACATAACCGTAAATATTGTCTAAATAAATAACCATACAAACATAAGATCAAACATTTAATAATCACATAAACAAGCGCACGAAGTGTGAATTAAGCCATTCCGATCCAAATACCAAGCTACCTCTAAGAAATTCCTAAGAAAAATATTTTTGTGTTTTTAATCTCATTCATAACAAAAACCTAAATCATGCTACTAAATTCTCTTGATTTCAATTAATAATAAAAAAACCAATTAATATTTTTTATTTTTTAAATCTAATTTAAAACTCATAATTCTTTTTATTTGTGATTATAAAATGCATGTCATAGGTAAACCACTTACAGAAGGCATATAATACAAAATACAATCTTTTTATCTCTAACTCTATCTAATATATTGTGCCTTTCAATAACTCTGTATATTGAATAAGATGCCAAAAAAATTCACTAAAAATATCATATAAACTTACATAGAAATAGTATGTTTTATCTTTGGTTCAAGTGGTTAGTCTAAAGGAACATATGGTAATTTTTTAGAACAAAATTTATATTTTTGTTTAAACATCTATGTTTCGATGATAACAATGCATATATTATATAAAAAATAATTTTAGTTCTAACAATTTTATTGATTGTGCATATATTAGAATTCTGAATAGTCATAATCAAGATATCATCTGAATCACTTTATCACTCAGAAGAAAGACCATTGAGTTCGTTTCAAATGAAATATCAGTAGTTCTGTTGAATGCTGATTGTTCGACAAGAAAAAAATCTCGATGATTTTATAAAAAGAACTCAAGCTTCCAACGCAAAGTTCAGAAGTCAAGATTTGTTCATTTGAAGAGTTGTTGCTCACATCTCTGAAGACAAAGTCAAGATTCTGAAGACTTGGATAGTTCATGGAATACGCACTTCAATTCAACATCAGAATTTGTTAGAACATAGTTTGATTCTACAACACTTGTAAGAGTTTTGATAATAACAAAAGCAAAGAACATAAACCTCCAACCAGTTTGTCTGAACAATGGCTTCATCTTCAAGCGCTCAACGCCCTCAATGTGTTCCTGGCTCATTTTCTTCAACAGCAGAAAGATATGAAGAACCGTCAAGAACTCTACTGACCCCTATTGATTCACTAGAAGTTCTCTGAAAACTCATTATAGACTTTGAAAGCATGAAGGAAACGGCTATGATCTTACTCCTGATGTGGAATTTCAAGGGTGGACCAAATACTTTGATCGTCTACTGGGTCCAATTTTTCCAAGATTGGTCAAAGAATTCTAGATTCACGCCACTACATCAAACCATCAAGTTACTTCTTATGTGATGGGGAAGAAGATAACAATTTCTAAAGATCTTATTGCAAGGTTGATAGGTCATGACGGAGGAGGCATTCGTTGCAGCGACATGGCATAAAAATGTTGTGACCTAAAAACAATCTCAAGAGAGATTTTTACTTCTGGCCAGCTATAAAAAAAAATTAAAGATCTGAAGGACTACTTCAGAATTTGGTTAAAGATCAATTTGGGTTGCATCAACCACAGAGAGCCCACAAATTCTCCTGATTATATCAATATTGACCAGTAATTTATGTTGTACTTCATCGCAACCAAGGCAAAGATAAATCTTCCTCATCTGTTGTTTAATCATCTAAAGATAAGTTTTAAAGAGACTAGAGAAGAAGAAAGGACTAAGAGGGACTAGATACCTCTGGGTAGGCTGATATCAGATATTCTGACTGGAAAAAAACTGGTAGAATATCTGACTGAAGCCCAGCAGGTCAGCATTCTGGAAGCATGTGCTGGAAAACCTCTGAATGCAAAGAATCTGAAGAAAATGAAAATCATTGATACCATCAAGAAGGATCCAACTGTTGCAACGAAGGAAGTAATCACAACAAGAGTTCCTTTGAAGGATTTCCCTCTGTTCTCTCAAATAGATGCTTCTCCAGAAATAATTATCAGATATTTGG